AGCATATTTTCAAACAAAGCAAGTGATCTAGCAAGTAACTAAGAGCTCATAGATAACTATGGATGAAAAGGATACTAATACCTTCCCTTTTCATGATCTACCCCCGAACTCAAGAAAATAATCTCAAAGGCATTTCCTGTTCTTTTCCACCTTTGCTTTTGGATAAAAGAAAATTCGATGGCGACTCTTGCTAACCGCAACAATCACGATCAAACGCAAAACATCCCAAGTCAGTTCTCCCACCGTATTACACCCTGCTACACCTTTTTCTATAACACACTACTAAGTAACAAACACCCAAGACAGACACAAACAATTAAAGAAAACACAATAATTGGGTTTGTGCCCCTCGGCAGACTTAACTGTGCCCCTCGGCATAGAACATAGTGTCGGTCGGCACCCTTCATCAACATACGTATGTCGCTTGGCACACGTCCATAATTCCAGTTGCAGTTCTACAACTTCGTCCAATTTTTCTTGCGATCAGTAATTCCTTTCCTTCCCATTATCTCAGACCAACACAACAACTATACCCACATCAATATATGCAGATTTCTACTCGATTCATCGATTGAATCACTGTAATGTTAGCACAATCATCACAGATGTCAAACAACAATTTATTCATACAACAATCACACACAACAACAATTTCACACAACCCAATTCCCACGTGATATGCATCATATACCCAATTATAGAGTCAGAACCCCGCCCTTACCTTGGATTGAAGGTTGTCCTATAATTTTCCGATCGAATCCCGCTTCTTCTCTGTAACTTCTCACGTACAACACTTCTCTATTATTTCTCTTAACCCTTTCAATTATCCTAATTTCTATCATTATGACTAAACCTAATAATAATAGTATTATTTCTATTGGATCTAATTCTCACACCCCCTTAATACTATATACCACCAACATAAGTCCAACAAATAATACTAATAATTCCAACATTATCATTATTATTAATCAACTAATTAATTAATTATTAATAATCTAACAACTTATACCAACAATTCTCAATATTACACCACTTCAACAAATAATTCAGAAATAATTTAATTAAATAATTTAATTAAATCAACGGGCGTTACACTTTTCAAGTTTATGATAGTGCTAAATTTCATGATGTGCTTTGAGTGTAACCAATTAACATAAACACTTAAGAGTTGAGAGAACTTTATCCTGTGAGGATCTTGTTGCTTATGATGTACTATTTGGTAAACTATCTTCTTACTTGCTTTGATTGTCACAAAAAGTTACTCACTAACACCATATTACTTGAAGTTTAGAATGAGGATTTTACTTAACCCTTTGTGGTCCTGAAAGTCTTAGAAATTACAGGCTCTGTTTTGTTCTTGTTTCTTTTGTTTTTACTTTGTTTTGAATTTTGACTTTAGAATTTTACTCGGAGTGCAAAAATTTAAGTGTGAGGGAATTTGATCAGTATATTTTGATGTGCACTATTTTACCATTGTTCCACGACAATTATATATTTTCTATATTATTTTTAGTGTGTTTTCTAAGTTTAGTTTATTTCTTCTTTTATTTTAATTATGTTACTTTTTTTCTGAATAAATAGTAATTTGACATCTTCTCGTTGTACATGTCATAACTTGAACTACGAAATATCGTTTGAAGCGTTCTAATATGAGTTGGAAAACTGAAAGGACGAGCTACAAGTTTTGTAGTAAAGTCATAAACCAATTCAAAGTGTAAAAGAGTTAAAATATTGTGTTTTCGTGTCAGACTTTATAAATGAATTAGTTTGGGCCATTTTTTAATGTTATTTGGATCAGTTGCTATTAGGACTTGATTTCCCTTGTATTATTTAAACAAAATTCCGCAGCCTTAGGTCATACATTCAATTTTTACAAAATAGAAAATAGAGCGTACAAATTCAATTGAGAACTAATCACCAAGGTTGATTCTGCTGTAATCGTGTCTCCACTAAACTTTGAGGTTTTTATATTATCCAATTCATTTTAATTTCCTTTCAATTCTTCTCTTTGAGTATCAATTGCTTAATTTGTAATTTCATGGAGTAGAGTCGATTAATTTTGATTGATGTATGATCCTTAACCATAATCGTATTTAGCGTAGTTTTTTCGTTAATTCAGGTTTGATTAAGTCGTGTTTGGTTTATTGGCGTATGCTTTATTTGTTTTCTTAATTCAAAAATTGGAAACATATATTATATAGTATCAATTGTGCTTGTTGATTGTTGTTGTAATCGAAAAGGGGATTAATTTTGTGTAAGACTTTGAAATTATATTAATCGATGATAAGCAGGAGACTGGTGCAATAGACTAATGTGTTCATCATATTTATTTTCACCTTAACTACTTGTGATTCACGTTCTGAATTTTAAAACTCCCCCTTCTTTCAATCGGTTGGTTAAAATATTCGAGAGTCTTTACAATACAACTCAAGTGTCATTTCCATATACTACGTATTTTAACTCATATGCGACAGCAGATCAGATATATTCAGTACATACATCATAAAAACTAGTTAATTAAAACATATAAATAAAAATTGACCATAATTAATGGTTTTAATTATTTCTTTCGAAATTACAATTATCATTTAAAACTACTTATTCAATTTCTTAATATTATAGTTATCATTTATAATTAATGTACATTAAAACATATATTTAATTACTATATTTCCCGTTATATATCTATCTAATTGTTTAAGGTCGTGTTTATTTGAATTATAACAATTTCTGTATAAAACTTAATAAAACAATTCTACATTTACAATTAATTAATAATTGGAACACAAACACAAGCATGATTTGACACGTTTAATAGTATTTTTTTTATCTACATTTTTTAATCAGGACTATAACATACTTCCTCTGATCCAAAAAAAAATCTACTTTTCAAATATATTGAATATATTGAATAACTAATGTATTTAGACAATATATAGATTAAATATATCACTTACTCAATAAATTTAAAAAGTTAGTTTTTCTCATTAATAGGACCAAATAGAATAATTATTTACTATTTATAATGATACTTTGTAACCCATATTCACACATGTTCTTTGCTAGGTCGCTCGCTCGATATTATGTTAGTGTCTAATTTTGAAACACGGCAATGCATTAATGACACTTCTATTTAAAAATGTAGATATTATAGACCTTTATTTTAATAAAGATTTTGGTATTCGGTCTTGCGATCGACTAATTTAAGAGGATCAATTCCGCCATTTGTTTGCAGAGATCCGTTTAAAACCAGAACAAAACTCTGTATGAACATGACCCAACACAAAAATTGTTTTGACCTAATGGAATTCGAAACAAAAACCTTGAGAAATGCGCTCTATAAAAACTTAAACCTTCGGCAATAGACATTCTTCAACCATCTGTTTCTTTCCAAGGACGGCTTCTTTGGAAAGACCACATTTCCCCATCCATTTCTTTTTACAGCCTGAAATCAATCCAACATATTAGTGACAGTGCACCTAGCTCAAGTGTACCTGAATCAAACCTGTTCCTAGTACCTCACTCTCCCACTCGTAGCACACCTATGTATGGCCTTGGCATCTACTTTGATGGAACTCCAAAAAAGCAACAGTCAGTGGCTCGGTTAAGCATTGTGGCGGAAAGGCATATAAAACGGCAGAAGCACTATGAATTCAAACACTACTTGCTGATTGGTTTTCAGTTTATATCAACAGTTTACTGAGACAATAAATTAATAACCTAACGGATGATAGTAAGATCTGTTGTCGAGAATGATCAGTTGGTCAATTCATAAAAATGGTAAAGTGGAACAAATTTCAGTGCACTCCCTCACAGTTCCTCTATAGAACTTCTACAGCTAACCAACTGCATGACAACTTGTGTTGCTCTCATCCTCTATCTTTTGGTTTCTTATATTTGCTGATTCCAAAGAGTACCCTTCTAATCACAAAGACCCTCTATTCTCATCAAACTTCTTTGCCGCAGCATTTCACCTTGCTCATCCATCTCCTCCGTCTGTGTCCCTGCATATTTTTGCCTTGTAAAGCTTGCAATCACTTTCCAAGTCCTTCATGGTGGAACAAGGGGAATCTGCAGCATCCACGCTATGGGTTTCTGCTACTATGAGTTGTGTTCCTTTAAGGAATTATTATTATATTATGGAGATTTAAATGTGAAATGGGGGGGTCTGTTTGTTTGCATTTGGTATATAGCAACAACTAGCATGGTATTGCTTAGAATTTGAAGGCAAGAAGTGAAACATGTCAATTATAGTACTCTTCTGCTCACGGGCCAAAGTGAAAACAATTCTTAGTGAAGTCAAGAGCAAAAGGAAAAAAAATGGACAAGTTTCCCAACAAACAAGCTGAATATAAGGGTCAAAGAACAGTCTTCAGCCATTTGTTTATTTTCATTCTTTTGTCTTTTATGACAGAAAGAATTGTCGTGTCAAGGAAATTGATAACTTGTTGCATCATACGTGCTACCCTATATAAAACAATTTTGAAACAAAAACTGTCTACAAGAAAAAGACAGTACAATATTCAATGTTGTAAGTTTGAATGTTTTTGCATAATTTAGGTAGTAGTTGAAGAGAGTTATAATTCACTTGGTACGCTGATAAAACGACTTTCACATGACATACATAGCATGCCCTGGTTTTCATCTTGCTAAATTAGATTCACACTTGATCAGAGAAACCAGAGGAGAAATTGAGAGCCATGAACAGAAAAGAGTAAAATAATCCATACAATAAGCCTTGAAGATTACCACCAACTTATGGATACAACAAAAGGAAAGCTTGGTAGGTTTACTATTAGTTCATATCAAAATTGCCTGACCATTTCTGAATTATTCAATAACAACCCCCCTTCCCCCCCAAAAAAGTGATAACAATAAGGAAAGTGTCCCCTATAGCTACTGCCCTATTTTGTTCCATCAAAAATAAACTACAATCAAACTGTTTTCATGACGGAACGATACAAAATAACCAATGATGTTGAGTTTTCCTACATGCTTTAGATTGTAGTAGAAGTGACAATTTGTGGATTTGGACATTCTGAGAGATTATGTCCTTTTTGACGACACCCGTAGCACATCCTATTCTTCTTCTTGCCACTTGCAACGACAGTAATTGGTTTCTCAACAGTTGGTTCCTCAACTGCAACAAATTTGTCGCCAGCAACTGACTTTTCTCCTGCACTTGGTTTAGAGCCTGCATATGATTTTTCGCCCACACCTGGTTTAGAAGCCGCAAATGACTTTTCACCCGCACCTGGTTTAGAAACTGCAAATGATTTTTCACCCGAACCTGCAACTAATTTTTCAACTGCACTTGGTTTAAAACCTGCAACTGATTTTTCAACTGCACTTGGTTTAAAACCTGCAACTGATTTTTCAACTGCACTTGGTTTAAAACCTGCAACTGGTTTTTCAACTGCATTTGGTTTCGAGCCTGCGACTGGTTTTTCACCCGCACCCGGTTTTTTATTCAAAGGAACAGCACAACTTATCCGGACAGGCCTTCCAAACAAAACACTTTGATCCAATGCAAGTGCTGTCTTGAGTGACTTACTATCACTGAAATCCACATGAGCATACCCTCGGAATTCTCCTGTTTCCTTGTCCTTTCCCAATCGTATGGACTTTATATTGCAATTTGAGAAGAATTTCCTCAGTTCTTCTTCTGTTATTTCCCATGATAAACTTCCAACATATATTCTATTATATCCCTCCTTCAGTTCTGGAGTAAAACGGGTTGTTTGAGTTGCTTTATATGGTTGGATTTTAAGAAAGAGTCCTCCCCTGTTAACATTAGATGTTTTATAAGTAATGACATGAGAAATGAGCAAAAACAGTGAATCATCTGTATACAAAAGAAAATTGCTAGTGTTACTAACATGTCAGATCCATCAAGAGCCAATGCTCGTTTGGCCGCTGCTTCAGTCTGCAATAAGAATGCCACAGAAACGTTAGCAAGTTATTGAAATCCTCAATACCAAAGAAACCATTCTTGAAATTGCATGTTGTTTTTAACTCTAAGCGAAATACCAAACAAAATAAAGAGTTAAAAATGCCTGTTTTAACCTTACCTTAAAAACAATTATTGCAATCCCTCGGAACTTGCCAGTGTCAGGAAAAGTCATACAATTAATTTCAGTAATGGTGCCACAGCTTTCAAAATAACTATGAATATCATCCTCACTTGAATAGTAGGGAATTCCTCCAACATAAACTTTTGTAGCAGCATCACCGTTTTCTTGACTGTATGAACATCACAGAAAAAACAACATTATTTCAGTTCACAAACACAACCTTCCTTTCCAACCAACAACCAAGCTTGTACCCATTAAGTGGGGTGGGCTAAATCTAAATGGACCAAACTACGCTATAATGTTCTATAAAAAAAATGCTTCTATCCAACTCATTTATCTCGAGATTCTCTTAGTAGTTTCTTTTATAGTATTTATAGGTCTTCCTCTACCTCAAGCAAACTCCTTGCCTTTCATTTGATCTATTCTCCTTACTATCGAACCCACATGTATCCTCTCTACAAGCCCAAACCATCTACGTCTAGTTTTCACTAGTGTTCTACTATAGGCGCTACCCCCAACACTCTCTAATATTCTCATTTCTAATCTTTCTTTCCTTCACACTAAATCAATATCCAATTTTCTTCTATGAAAACTACGTACGTATTTGATTCCACTTTTCGAGTCTAAGATTTTCCTTTAGAAATGATTACAACTTGGAGCTAAATTTTGAGGTTTTTGCCTTTACAATTGATTTTTAGTCCAAAACTTGTCGTTCAACCAACTTTTACATGAATGCATTCAACCCTAAACCACTTTTTATCTCTAGAATTGATTTATAGCATCAAGTTCATAATTCAACATATTCAACCATAAACCACACATTCAACTCACTCTTAGCCGAAATTCATACAAAATCAATTTGTGCTACCATAGAACCAAACACACACTAAGTACACATCAAACCATTGCATTGTTTAAGACAATTATCAAGTGAAACTAAAAACAACAATGATAACTGAAAAGAAAGAAAAAAAACACGATAAATAAAATCACCTGGTAGTGATATTGGTATTAGCCAACTCGGTAGTAAGCTCCGACATTTCCTCTTGATGATTAGAACCACTTCCCTCAGCAGTTGTGACCTCACCATTTTCGTCACCAGTTTTAACCTTCCCATTTTCCTCAGCAGCTTTAGCCTTCTTTCTCTTCTTCTTCAGCAAATTCTTCTTCTTCTGCTTCTCCTTTTTCACCGATTGTTTCATAAACTTCACAACAACCTCATCACCCACATCATCATTCTGATTCTCTACCTTAACTTTCCCCTTCTTAACAACAACCTCATCACCCACATCACCATTCTTTTTCTCTACCTTCACTTTCCCCTTCTTAACAACAACTTCATCACCCATATCATCATCATCACTCTGTTTCACTGCCTTTATCTTCCTCTTCTTATTGTTCTTCTTTCCCAAACCCTCAACCCCAATTTCCTTCTCCTTTTTTGCTGCTTCATCCTCATTGGTTTGGGTTTGTTGCAAAGGTCGAATTTTTCGAAGTTTCTCTCTCTTAGACAAAATGGGTTTGTTGGTGGAAGAGTGTAGAAGAAGTTTGAAAGAGTTGGAAGATGAAGATGAGGGATTCGATTCGGGGTTGGTTTGGTTTAGGGTTAATTCAGCTCTAAGCTTCTGCTTAAGCTTCTTGTTCGATAGAACCATTCTGAATTTCACACTTTTTGAACCTAGTTCATCAATTTTAGGGTTTATGTTTCTGTTAGAAAAAACGCAAACACGCAGAACAAGGTTAACCCTTGTTTTGCCTGTAAGAACTGACGAAGGAGAAGACAGTGTTTTGGGCCTTGGGTCAATAAAAATCGAGGTTTCATCCTCACACTCCCAGTTATACCTAACACCCCAATATTTTTTTATAATAATAAATTTATCCTTCTCATTATTTACCTACTAAATTTTCACATTAAAATTTAGAGAAATTATACCGGTAGAACTAGGGATGTATATGGGTCACTTTTGGTTTGATTTAGCCAAAACCATAACTCAATCTCTTATAGGTACATCGCTTTGGGTTAGATAAAATAACCACTTACAATATTATTGAGTCGGTTTAGATAAAATCACAAATTTATGGGTTGGATTGGGTTGAGAAGTGGGTTTTCCAATTTTTTTCAAAAATTTCCCGATACACCCATGGATCTCTTAGTCATCTGGTGATTTTCTAATTATACCCCCTGCTTCCGTAGATGCATATCCGGAAGCATCTTTTTTTCAAAAAATTTATTTCTTTCCGTAGATGCATCTACGAAAAGCGTTAAAAAATATAGTATAGTAGAGAAAATTCAATTTATTTCAGTTCAACCATTCTTCTGTAGGTCTATCCACAGAACGTGGTGAGAACATAGTATTTTGTAGATTTACCTGCGTAACAATCTTCTATATTTTCAAATCATATTAATTTCACTCCAAAAATGCTAGGAAGTAATAATAAGAGAATTTTTCAGTACACCCAGTGAATCTCTCATCCACCTAGCGATTTTCCAATTATGGGGTGTTACCTTTTAACTCAAAGGTTTTTGTGGTTAACTTGACTGATGAAAATAGAGGATCCTCTTCTGATTTCTTCTGATAAGACATATTTCTACCACCTTAGTCAGTTTCTTCGTCGTATGCAACCAGATTTTCAGGTATATCTTCAAGAGCTTTTTATGAACTGATTTTTGTCACTGAATTTACTAAGAAACATTTTAATTTAAAAGGGATGTTACTAAACTTGAGCTATTCTTTGTAATTATTTATTTCCTCACCAAAATCAGATTGATCAATGAAAGAGATGTTACTAAACTGGAGTTATTCTTTGTAATTATATATTTCCTCACCAAAATAAGATTGATCAATGAAAGGGAAGTTACTAAACTTGAGCTATTCTTTGTAATTATATATTTCCTCACCAATAAATACATCGATGTAAGTATAAATATAGTTACGCTACTAATTATGAAATAACAACATCTTGTTATGTTTATGTTTTTTAGGGTTGAGTCTGCTCACTGGAGACTAAATAATATGTTGTCAAGTAGAATGGGAGATTTATGTAGAAGTTGAGATATTGTCAACACTATGTTGAAGCTACAATTGAGTTCAATTAGAGTATCATTTGAGAATCGTGTTGCCCATATTGATAATCAGTATAAAACTCCATTTTAGTCCAGATTGTACGGCTTCACTTCAAGACAATGTATACAGCACAATGGAAAGGTGCTAGAAAGGATAAAATTTATTGGTTGTGACACATCAGCATGTGGTTGCTTCATTATAACAACACATGAGTTACCTTGTGCTTTTAAACTTGAGGTTATCAAATACAAGGAGAGCTTATTATGTTAGAATTGATACATGTGTTTTGGAAGAAACTATTCATTTAAGAGCTTGAGGTCACTGAAGAAGAAAGTGGGACATAATTGGATTTAGAAGAAGAGTGTGAAGAGATGAAGAAGAATTTAGGTACACTAGATATAGTAGGCCAGAGGGCGATAAAGAAAAAAATCCGGGAACTAACACATTCATCCACAACTTCCCTATGTCCACCACCAGGGAAGTACAAGCTAAATAAGGGAAATAAGAAGAGTAAAAAGGGTGAAGAGAATAATGCACATCGTGATCCTTCACAATGGGGGTATGCTAAGGGCTAGCAGGGAAGTCAGAGTACAAAGAGATCATGTACAAAATCAACTGAAAGTCAAATGTGCAGTGTGTCTTCAAAAATAAAATATTTGTCTCAGTTTCTTATTTTCTTACATCAGTACATTGATGACATTGTTAATATGGTGATGATGAAAATTATGGTTTTTGGGCTATTGAAAATTTACTTGGATGTGGAAAAGAGTCTTAGCCTTTGGTTCGAATGTATTCAGATACTTAAGTTTATCAACATCATCAATTGTATTCTAACTTTTCTATGATATTGTACTAAAGTTATGAGTGTGTTACAGGTAGCTAGTCGAGCTGTGCATGGTCATGAAAAGTTGATGGTGATTCCTGATATAGGTTACCTTGTTGCTTATAGATATAATATTATATTGGTCTCGTTGTCTAGGAACCTTAACATCACATTATTCTCATTAGCGATAGTTCTATGCATAGCTTCAAGTAGACACAAAATCATTGCATTTGGTTTTGTTAACAATAATCATTAGGTTCAGGTGAAGTTGAAACCCAATTGTCCTTTGTTTCTCATCATAGACCGATGGAGACAGAACTGTAGTGAAGTTGCAAGAGCATGGAAATCAACATATGTGGTACATATTAGACACTGAGAAGTAGAAGCAAGGAAGTCGACATAAATTATTTTGTAATGATATTATAGCACTTTGCATTATATGTATATGTTTTATCTGGTATAGTTTGTTAAAAATATTTAAAAATATATATTTTTTATTAATTTCATTACTGCCTACTGAATTTTTTAAAATTTCAGAAAAATTTGATGTGTACCAAATTTTTCACAAAAACCCGGTAGGTTTTTCATGTTACTGGTTCTTTTCAAATATCTAATATTTCTTCATTATTTTTCCAAAATTCCTTGAGTTTTTACTGGCAATTTACAAATTGTCTCGTATTTCTGCATACTTTTGTGAAATATTCGATACACTTACAAAAAATCCGAAAAATTCTTCATCCAAACGGTAAAAATTACAAAAAAAAATCGGGTATCTGCGTCAAAAATCTGGTATTCATCTAAACTTAAGGACATAAGCGTAATCGTAACCCTTGTGGGGGTGCCAGGTCAAAATTGGGGGGTGGCGGGATATGCCTCACTACCTCATCGAAAAATCTTTAGATTTAATAAATAATAGTTATACTTTTGTAATTAATTAGCTCATTTTATGGGTGTTTATTGGTTCAGATAAATTCAAACTAAATATGAGTCCAAACTAAATCATGATGTTTAGATTGAACTTTTTTTCGTTCGAGCACAAATCAAATCAAACTAATAAATTTGATGTTAATTGGTTTAGACAACATATTTCTAAAATTCTACTTGTGAATTCGTCTATTCGAACCAACCATAATTAATTCATATAATTAATATTATCATTATAATGAAAATTAGTGAAAGGTATTTAATTTTGAGTAGAAAAAAATGAAACTTCATATATGTCGTTCACAACCAACGTGGAGGAACTAAAAAGTTAGAGATTTTATATTATTTTGAAAATTTAGTCGATGTAAATTAGTTTTTTTTAAAGATAGTCTTGCATATTTGTTTTAATGTATTTGGTCAATCCAGCTCAAACCAAATTTATGTTTCTCGATTTGGATTGGTTTGGACTTTATCACTAAAGTGCTAAAATTCAATCTAAATCAATCCATATCTTTTGAGAATTTCTTAATCAATCCATATATTTAAAGTCAATATAAGTGGTCAACACGTTCAACAGCGTGACAGCCTGACCATCAGAGTCATGACGTCTGTCACGCCACCAAGGCTGCGTGACGGTCTAACCGTCAGCCAGGCGAAGTTCGTCACCCTGGGGCAGTTCAGAAAAACTCACCCAATCTTCTGTTCCTCCTTATTTTTCTACCACTTCCAATGGAAATCTCCACCAAGTCCCACACGATTGGAATGCAGATTTTACCTGTTTTGCCTATATAAATAGGCCTTTATTTCTTCAATTTAGGTATCCGAGTTTCTAGAATTTAAATTTAAGCAGAAAATTATTCTCTGTAAAAGTGCGCTCACATCGAGTGATAAGTGCACCTTAGTTTAGGAATTTAGATAATTAAAGTCTGTATTCAAATCATTTGCTACTCCATCTTGCCGGATTAATTTTCTCAAAAATTTTCGTGATGTGTTCTTATTCTTGTTATTTTGATGCTTTGGAATTCACTATGTAATATTCTGCAATTTCTTTACTGGTTTTTAATAGCACTTATCAATATATGTTACTTAAATTATTTTAATAGTTTTTGTGGTCATTGTTTTGTTTGTTATTATATTAGAATAAATATACAACACCGTCTAGAATATAGATGAAATTTGCTTTGCCCCTTGTAAAAAAAAATTGAATCACCCCTTCAAAATGTAAAAATACTATGTATTTTGCCCTTCAACCCCTTCAAAATGTAAAAATACTATGTATTTTGCCCTTAAGTGCAAAATTTACTCTCTGTAATATTTTTTTATTTACCTCTCAGATTCAGTGTTTTATTTGTATGCTTAGAGGAGTAATCCAAAAAATAATATATTACAAGAGGGAAATTCAAAAAAAAAATTACGAGGGCGTAAAGCAAATTTCGCCTATATTATAAGGGTAAAATGGTATTAACACGTGAACTACTTACTACCTACTAGTACTAAATATACACATAGGGATGATTTATGAGTAGTTCATATTACTATTTATTAACAATAAATCTTCAAAAAACCTTGTCATCTCTGGATGCAGATTTATGGCAAGAAGCTATAAATGATGGGATAGAATCTTTAGAATCTAACAAGACCTATCATTTAGTAGACTTTCCTCGTGGTTGCAAATCAATCAGTTGTAAATGAGCTTTGAAAACGAAACTAAAACCTGATGGAATCATTGATAAATACAAGGCTCTCCTTGTAGCGAAGGGTTTTAGACAAAGAGAAAATTTAGATTTCTTCGACACCTTCTCTCCAGTCACTAGAATTATATCTATTAGGGTAATTATTTCAG